TAAAAAACCAGCACGATCCAACGGATAACAAGATCTCTAGAGGCCCCATATAACACCTCAAATTTTTATTTTTTATGGATTTAGTCCCACATCTAAAAAAACCTCAAAGGACTAAGTCCCAGATCTAACAAAGGATATTTCCTCCTAGATGGTTATATAAGTAGCCCCTTGGCAAGGGGAATGCTACACTTCTTTCCTTCCCTCTAAATCCTTTCCAACTAATTTAGAACAGTGTTCTGAAATTTTTTGGTTAAGAAGTCCTTTAGCCTTTGCAAGGATTTCAGGAGTTTTTCTAGTTAAATGTTTTATTGAGTGTTTAAGAGGAATTGTTGTAGAGTGTCGGAGGACTGCCAAAAAGCATCCTCAAGTTTAAAATTTATGAAAGTGTAGCCTCAAAGGTTTCTTTTCTATAAACTCTTATTTGCTACTTTCTTTACTACTTTTGAATACATGTTTAGAATTGTTTGCATAATGTATTTGTTTAATCGCTTTTATTTGAATAAATAGGGGTAAAACTGTAAATTAAAATATTATTTTGTTAATAAATTTGTCATAGGGTACTAATTTTAGGTGTTATAGGGTGTCTAACACCTTTCCTATACATAACCAACCCCTGAACCCAACTTTGGCTATGTAGGCTTAAGTTAAATTTTCAAGAACCATTTCTTTTTCTAATGTTTTGAGTAAAATATTAGTGGAGACTCCATGAACCCAAAAAACTTTTTCGAAAACCACCAGTGGAGGTTTAGTCCAGTTATGGAGCATTTTGAAGCTGGTGAGATTTTTAGGGTCTAATTATTGATTCACATAGAACCTTCCCTAAGAAGAAACATGATAAGTCACCATATATGTTTTTTATGGGATCTGATCGTGACAATACAAAATAGCCTAGGAGCCATAAAACAGGAGCACCCATCTATAGTGTAGGGATCACCCATCTATAGCGATCCCCTCGAACCACCCTCAACCAAATGATGTCTATCAGGGTCCTTTCAAAGTGTTACAAATAGCCACGGTTGCCTCTCATTCCTGTTAGAGGTTCCTCACCATAACACCTCTCGAGGCATAGGTAAATGACGTATCCTTCATGCATAGATTCACATTATCCCACAAACAAAATATGAATGCTTGGACTCAACAATCACATCACAACCACACATTATGCAATAACTCACTTCCTCGTTTGCCAATCCATAGCACCAGACTCATACATCTTATATCATCATAATATACATCATCACATATCAATGTTTCATCCTCATCACAATATTCATCCCAACATGCATCATCACATCTTAGTAATTCATCACATCAATTTAAGGATACCTCAAAATAACTCCTCATACAACATCATTAGTATTTTCACATTAGGATTTATAATATATTAGTCAATTATTTACATATTTTACTCACTAATTCATTTGCTCAGTTTGCAATTTTAATCCCCCATATAGCCTCCTCAATTATCAATTAATTCATAAAAATAACATTATAAGGGAAAATGGCACAACACCCAACAAGTTTAGACTTGACCTTAGTGTGGGATCACTCATGCCCGACATGGCGAGGTATAAGGCCTCTATGTCTCAATCTTGAATGCTGTGGTTATTCCCACACCCAGCGTCAAGGACTTAAGGACCCTCTAAAACCCTACCACCCAATATAGTCTAGGCCATGCTCTATATCCCTTCTCTCATAAAATTGACGTCAAATGGTGTCGAGTGCAATACCTCACACCCAACATCGAGAGGTTTGGGACCTCTCTACAGCCTCGTACTCAATGTGACCATCCTCACGCTTAGGGCAATCACAAATCTTGTACATCGCAGGGTCAAAGTCTACACGACTCACCCTCCTCCAATTTCTTACATACACATCAATTACTTCAATTTACAACCCATTCAATCCAATGATCATCCAATACTCCATTAACATCACTACATTATCAATTCATCAAAGTTTATCCAATTAAAACCAAACATATTTAATATGAGTAAATTCATGGTTTGTAAAATAGAATATCAGCAGATTCACAATTAAATTCATATGAATCAAACAAACAAACAAACAACCTAAGAGACTTAAGAATCGTCTCTCTACCCTCATCCCTCATATATGTCCAACGATTTGTCACTTTCACTCCCCTTACTTGGAGTGACGATCTTGTGCATCAACGTGCTTTTTGTAGCTCCAACCACTAATTTGTACCTTCCCTAATGGATTCCTCTAGGTTTCCTCCTTCAAGTGCTCTAGGTTTTTCAGAAGGCGCATAATGACCTAAACCCCTCCTTCTTTTTTTTAATTAGCCTTCGAGTTGGGCCTTGAGTCCAACCAAAAACCTTCCAATTTACTTCGCCCCTTTTATTTTATTAATAAAATATTTCCACATATTATATTTTAATTATTATAAATTATTTATTATTTATTTGAAAAATATATGGGATGTTACATTGATCATATTAAATATTAGACTAGATGAATAGTCGATTTCTCCCGTCAACACATATCATAAATAAATAATATAAATCTTAATTAAGAGATTGAACAAAATAAGTGAGTTACGGGATGTTTTAGTTACCTTTTATTGAATTTCTCATATGACTGAAAGATGAGCATGACCATTTTAATTTGAATAAATATTTATTTTGGTATGTAATTTTCAAGATGTTATATCAATCCCTAAAAATAAAAATAAAAATATCAAATAAGTCTTTAAATTTAACTATTTACTGTCATTTTGATTCCTGAATACACACAGGGTATATATCAATATTATCCTTTTAGTTATATACATTTTTGAGTTTTAGACTAATATGATTGTAAATCTGTATTTTTAGAGACAATTTTTATATATAATTTATTAGTTTTAGAGACCAACATGACAATATTTTCTAAATTTATGAACCAAATTGACATTAATTTTAACATTTCATTTTGACTACCTATTTATTATGCTACATAAGACTTATTTAAATGAACCTATTTATTATGAATTTGCATTCAAATGTTGAAGACCAATGATCGAATGACCTATTTATTATGCTACGTAAGACTTATTAAATAAGCATGTCTAATAACCGATAGGACACTGCATAGTATTATTATAGTCATGGTGTCTTAATGGATAGTTAAGACAAGTTAGTGAGGCCGCTTGTTTGGTGGAAGAGGTTTCGCATAAAAAAAAGGTTGGCTCATCCCGTTTTTCATTTTAAATTTTAGGAAATTTAAAAACCGATCACTTAGTATAAATCATTAATAAATAATGAATCGGTTTGTTTAAACTTAAAAAAAAAAGTATAAAAGAAGTATTTTCCAAAAATGTAATTTTTTAAGAAGTAAATAAAATTTTCTTCTTTAATTTTTTTTTTTAAAAATGGCTTATTTTTAAAATAAGTAGTTTAGACATAAATATATAAAAAAAAAGGTATTAAAATTGTCATTTTTAAAAATAAGTTTAAATAAACGGATTCAATATAAATATATTAAGTGATTATGTAAAATAAAAGAATGAATTATTGAGTATTTGTATTTCCTTCATTGAATTCTTATTTAATTGCTAGGTGATTACGTCCATTTTAATTTTAACATTTTACATAACTATTATGAATATTATATTATTTTACATTGTCACAATTATAATTTAATTAGTTTTGTCTCATTTTCTTGGATCTAGTTCCAGTTAAATATAAACAGTTCAATAAAATAACATTGGCAACTAATTGTGAATAAATAAAAGTGATGACCAGATAAAAGGGTAAAAAATTTAAACCTCATCATAATATATCTTGACCTTAGACCTTTTAGTGTTCAAATATTAATTCTTATTCCTAAATAGAAGATTATAAGGACTTATTTGGATAAATTTCACTAGAAACATTTTTAGGAAAAAAAAATATAAAAGAAAAATAAAATAAGTTTCTCTATAAGTTTAAATTAGCTTAATTATATATAAGTTAATTTGTAGAAGTTGCTCCTATTTGCTTTTCCAAAATCTTTTTTCACTCCAAGAAATGTTAAATACAATGACATATCAAAAAGTGTCATTATAGATATAATATATGTAAATATAAATCTATTTAACATATAGTCACACACAATTTTAATTTTGATTTTGAATGTGATTAACAACATAGATTGTGTGTCAATATTGCCTATACCTATTTTTTTGACAATTATGTGAATATATTTACTAACATATACCAACATATATTATGGGTAAAAATAGTTTTTAATGACAAGTATTGTATTATTATAGGATGTGTATCACTACAAAACAATTTTGTTTTGTAGTTCTTTAACTTTGCATAAATAAATTTTAACTTATGAAAAAGTATTTCAATTTTCTTCCTATTTTTTCTTCAAAAAGTTTTTTTTTTTTTTGGATAAATTTATCCAAAGAATCTCAATCTTTTGGGTGTGGGACTTGTTTAATTGATATGTACTATAATTGACAGGATACAACATAGTATTATATCATGATTATTTTGGTCCAAATATAAGTGAAGTCTAAAGAAAACTTTAATAGAGATTTTTTTCTTTAAATAAGAAAACTATGTGTTATATCTTTTTGTTAGCATATGAGGTATTTTTTTTCAACATACGTGGCTTTTTTTACTTTATAAAAACTAATAGAAAAATAAATTGACCCTTTATTTAATACTAATAACTCAATATAATAAACATTAACAATTAATTGTCAAAAAGCAGAGGAAAAAGAGGAAATAAATTTGACTTTCACCAAAATATAAGCTTTAAATCATCCCACCTCCATTTCCCCTATATAAAATGGCATAAGGGCCAACCTCTAACATAGATCAATTTGTTAGTACAGGAATTTGTTGCACTATTATCCTTTGCACTTTCAAGACTTTTAAGGTACATAGTTACTCACCTTACTCTCTTTTTTTTTCTTAATTGATTCTTAGTGTTATTTTTCTTTTATCTAATTTTTTATGTCAAAATTGGCAACGTAATTTGACCAAAAAAAAAAAAAGGAAATCATGAGTGACAGAAATGGAAGCATTCCAAAATTTGAATTGAGGTTGAACCTATCCCCACCAAGGGTTGTTAATTGTAGAGCCGATTCACCAACTCTATCAGCAATACTGTCATCGACATCACCACCAAGCTCATGTGTGTCTACCGAGGTCAACCAGGGGGAGGAGAACAACAACAACCTTGAATACTCCAACAATCCTGAAGCCATTTCCCTGGTGGTAGCAGGGTGCCCTCACTGCCATATTTATATAATGGTTGCTGAAGATAACCTCAAGTGCCCTAAATGCAAAAGCACTACTTTGCTTGAATTTGACCATGACAACAACAACAACAACCTCATCATAGGGAAGGGATAGAGAACTAGGCTACCATATGTCCAATTATGCTGCAAGTAGGACATGTATTGGATATTTCTTTTATGTTATCTTTTTTATCTTTTTTTTTTAATCCGTTCTATGTGCGGTGCTTTTTGCACTTCACTTTTTAGGAGAAGTTAATAAAGTTTCCTACTTGCCAAAGAGGTTATGCTGAATAAAATGGTTGTCTCCCCAGGTTAACCATCCTAAATATTATATTGATCTTTTTCATTTATCAATGTTGATCATTAATAAATAAATTATATCTAATTAAGTAATTATATAAAATAAGACATTGAATCATAAGGTATTTCAATTACCTACCATTAAATTTCTTGTTTGATTCACAAACGAGTTAGACCATTTTTATTTTAACATTTAATTTTGATGTATTATGAAAATAAAATTACTTTTAATTACCAATACTTAAAATTTGATTAACTTTTATTTCATTAACTTGACTTTACCTTAACCTCTTGTTATATACTAACAACTCAGTAAAATAACATTGAGAACTAATTGTTAATAGACAAAGTGGCAACGAGAAAAAGGGGAAAATTTGAATTTCATCAAAATAAATGATAATCTTTTACATTTTTCTTTATTTTTTGAATCTCTTACTATCTAAAACATTCCAAGTCTTTTGAGTGTAATGGATTAAAATTTCAATGAACTCACTATATTATGTGAGATTAATTTAATATGGCTATTTGATCATCGATGAGATACACGATAGTATCACAATCATCGATTCTTAATGGGTGATGAAGAGAAGTCAATGAAGTTACTGGTTTGTCGGGGAGGTTATGCTTAATAAATGGATGCCTTACTAAGTCAACTATCATAAATATTATACCAATTCAAAATTCAATTTCCTCAATCAATATGAATCTATAATAAATAATGCAAATTCAATTAAATGACTATAAGAGAGCGAATATCATAGTATTCTAATTACATACCACAAATATCTTAGGAGAACTAGAGCTCGTAGGAGAACACCTTGGAGATCTACGTCCATCTTTTAGCACTCATCAAGGTAAGGAAGATACGAGTAGTCTTGCTCTAGGTGTGGGATAATTGTTAAGTAATGAGATTGACCTCAACCTCTTTTTTCTTGTGTGCATTGTATGAAGAGGAACCCCAATTTATATTTGTTCCTTAATTTTTGTCTTCTATATGATTCTTCATTGCTCTAATTGATGATATTGAGTAGTATCTATGCTTAATTCTATGTGTTGAACTAATCTTGTGGATCTTAAATTCTCTGTGGGTTCTTATGAGAACCTCAAGAAATGCATTTTTTGTGATTGTATGAGAAGTTGATATGAGTATGTAAGTATGTGCATTATATGTGATGTTGTTTGAATTATATATATATATATATATATATATATATATATATATATATACATGTTGGGATGCAAGCAAAGTCTCACATCGTTCAAACAAGAGGATGGACATGGGTTTATTTACACACAATTGTCTCCATTGGAAGAGAGGCCTTTTAGGTGATATCCATAAGAAAAACCGTGAGGGCTTGGGCCCAAAGCGGACAATATCTCACTAATGTGGAGACATGTGTATATATGTGGTACCCCCCCCCCCCCCCCCCGTGCACAACAATATAATATTAATTTCATGCAATTTGAATTGTTTGAAAATCTATAAGTGTTTGTAGTTCCTATACGAAACCCTTGTTTATAGAGCAAAGTGATGATAGATGTTAATACCATGAATATGTGAAATTGAGATTGGATTTGAGTAATTAATTGTATAGTAGAGTAATATTAGGCTTTCATCTATGTTCTTATCGATTGGATTGGAAGAAGAGAGTTTGGATGTGAATTATGTCTTATTCACAAAAAATTAGTATGAATATACCTTGGTGTTTATGTAATTTTGCTATGCGTGACTAAGGAAATTGAATTCCATTGTTAGGGTTAAAAATCAGACATTTAGAGCTTTACTTTAAACTCAATAATAACATAAAAATGTTGAAGAATGACTGAGTTATGTGAGTTAAAAGAAGAACCTCATATTTTGTGCGCAAAATGTAACATGCACACATTATAAGCTTTTTGAGTAGACTTAAATGGTATAATTAGGTTTTTTAATCTTCATGAAAGTTGTAGCCCTATATGTTAGCTTTTAAATTCTATTAGAATTACCTAAAACGAAGGTCTACAACTCAAGTTATTGTTTAATTAGTAAGCAAGGGTCAAGCTATCATATTTAGGCTGAAATGTTACGATTTTTGTATTTTTGAAAAATAATATATGACAAATTTAACTCTTGAGGTCAACATAAAAGTATTAGATAACTGTCGTAGTTTCCTAACAAAATTAATATCAACTTGATATTATATATATATATATATATATATAGAGAGAGAGAGAGAGAGAGAGATAAAGTGTTTGAACTACATGATGTCTTAGAGGATTATATTATGGAAATGTAGTTTGTCAATGGTGATGATGAATAGCTTTACCATTTAAGTGTTGGATCCTACAAATGGTTTGACTTACCTATATCAACGTGGAGGAAAGAGAAATCATGATAGAAAACAATATTTTGTAAGTTATGTTGCAAGTTAATTGTTAATGACTTAAGGTGTTTTGGTGATAGTGATGTCTAAGGACTAGATGTGTGATATTGATAAGGCTACTAAACTAGTTAATCTATTGATTTAAATACTTAGTGATATTGATATCTTAGTGACTATGGTTGATATATTAACATGTGATTAGATGGCTTTATAATGATTTTATCTTCACGTGTATCAGGTGATGTTGTGTAATTGTTGTGCTTGAACTATGAACATGTGACTCTTGTACTAATTGATGCGAATAACTAAGTATGATATGTTGAGTATGTATTTATGTTAATCTTATACATGATTGATGTGAAGTTTTTGAATCGGTATTGGTGTTGGCAAGACATGAATGATGCAAATGGAATCTAATTGGCAAATCGTACGTTTGGCAAATAGTTGACTATGCACATTGAATTATAATATGACATTGAGTTTTTGTGATGTGCATCATATGCATGCAAAGGCCAAATCGAAATTCGTTATATATGCATTGTGTATATTTGTGATTAGTACATGCATGCAAATCAAAGTCTGTGTGCCTATTGCATCTCATATTTGCATGTGACTATATTTTGTTGAGTTTGAAGCCCTCTTGAAGATCTTTGTGAAGATTGAAGATGAAGTTTTAGTTTTGATATAGATATATTTAGTTTTGATTTAGTTTGCTTCATTTTGTATTGATTGTTAGTTAGACTTAGGCTTGAATGTGTTTGCTTATCATGATGAATTAATTTAAAAATTACATCTTGTTTTGATAAACATAAAACTCAATGTTTCTCATTTCATGTGAAAACATAATGTAAGAGATTACAAACTGTTTTGACATAAAATGCAACTTGGTTCATTCAAAAGAATTCAAGATTAAGTCAGGTAATAGATTACCATTTGAGGTAATAGATTATTGAAGCTTAGTTTTAATATGGAATTCGAAGTCCTCTCTATGGTAATAGATTACCAATTGAAGTAATAGATTACCATGGTGACTTTTGAGTGAAAACAAATGAAACATGTCAAAAAAGTATTGGGTTAATTGATTACCAATATATGTAATTGATTACCTCTGCCCAAAACCGAGTTTTATGGTTCCTAGAACACGTGTTAATTGATTACCAGGATCAATAATCGATTATCACAATGTTTGTTTTCAATCTGATTTTAGTTTCATTAAAGGTTGGTAATAGATTACTTGTTATGGTAATAAATTACTACTGTTACGAGTTTTTAGTGCTGAAATCTTATTTCCTCTATAAATATAACTCTTTTCATAAACGTAAAAAGAAGGATGACACATATGATTACAAAGATCAAAAAGAAAGGAAAAATAAAAACATTTTCTTATCTGAAAAAATATTTTGAGTGAAGATCAAATCAAATTTTTTTAGAACAATCTCAAGAGCAAGTTTGAAAAGCAAGAAAGATATCTTCTTAAAAAGAAATTCAAGAACCTCAAAGATTATTGAGCTAATATCTAGGGAAGATCACTTTACACATCAGGTGTATCATTTCTAGTCTTTAAACTTTGTTTTTATTGTTGGGTATGTGACTCTTTGAGATAACATGTCTCAAAAAAAAGTTAAGAGAAATCTTGGGATAGGTTTTTCTCAAGTTGGTTCTTGTGGGGTGCAAGAATTCTATGTTTGTGTAATCTTATGGAATCAAGATGGTGTGATTTAGATTCTGATTATAATATTGCTTGTACATGGTGTTTGTAAGGAATATTATAATGGAATGACTTGATTTAGCAGGGTACTAAGTCTAAAATTGGATATAGGCCTTTGTATGGCTGAACCAATATAGATCACTGTGCAAAGTCTCTCTTAACCTTCATACCTTGTTATAATTCATGTTGAATTGATAAATAAATAAAAAAAAGGAATTTCAAGAAGTGAAAGAAATGTTTTCTTGAATATTATTAATTGCAGATTTGAAAAATTTGTGTATGTTATATGCAATTTGGTAATAAAGAAATAAGGTAATTACTAAAATCAATTTGGATTAAAATATGTGTTACGCTATGTATTAAATCTGATAATTTGTATTCTTGATTGAATTGTAATATGAATGTGATTATTTGAAATTGGTCTAAGAAAGTAAAGAATTAGAAAGAAAGTTTTGAAAAACCATTAGAAGTCGTCTAAGCGAAGAATATATTCAACCCCCTTCTAGATTCGTGTTCTACCTGGACCAATATATTTGTCTATTAAGATTAATGATATTATGTTTTATGAATGAGCTATTATGATTTTATAATGTTAATTATGTGTTTAATATTGATGTTATTGTTATGAAGGATATGTTGAGTGTATGTGTGATGGAATAACACTAAGGCCAAGAAGTCCAAGAGGTGATGTATTGAAGGAAGCAAAAGGAATGGGTTAGTGTTAAAAAAATCATAGGAGGAGTG